TACCGAGGAGGTGTATCGTAGAAACCTGACATATGTGATGGCAACAGTAGCTTATCTAGGAGATACAGCTGTAATAAGCTCACTGGTTAAAGGTGGTGTAATGAAACATTTAATAACAACATGGGAACATTGCACTGACAGTGAGGTTATGTTCAATATATCAGTTACTCTACAGAACATTGCACACGATAAAGGTGATCTCTCACATGTTGACCACCTTGTTGAGGAGGGAGCTCTAACCATTATATCTAAACTACTACAGAAGTGGAGTGAAGATGACACTGTGATGGTTAAGTTACTTGGAACTTTACAGAACATTACCTGTAATAGGAAGGATATCAGTGTGTCAATAGCTAACAGTACAGAGTACGGAAATATACCACTACTCCTACAAGAGTTATTAGAAACAGCTTCCAGTGACAGTGTTATTGTGCAGACTATTAAGGTGATCAGGATTTTAGTACTGGGGATTGATGTACTTCACACAGTGTTTCTACACGCAAGCTTCTTTACCACAGCTTTCCGACACCTGCAATCAACTACACTAAACAGTGATAGTAAGCAGTGCCTGCTGTGTGGTATAATATGTACATTAGCAAACACGAATACTGATAAAATGAAAGATCTTCTGATTCCTTACTCTCAACCACTGAAAGAATTAGCCAAGACGGGGAGTGATAGTGTGTTAAGAGTAAATGCTGCGATACTGTTAAATAAATACCTGGGCAGTATTGAGGAAAGTGAGCTATTACAACTGTTAATACCACCTACAAATGAAATGTTCACTGAGGGCGGTATTGTAAAGCTAGCTAGTAACATAAAAGCGATACCTGGTAGAGAAGAAGAATTTGAAAAACAAGTAATCAGAGAGGTTGTTTCAGCTGAATTTATCAACAAGTTTATTGAACAGTACGACAGTAATACTGAGGAGGTGTATCGTAGAAACCTGACATATGTGCTAAGTAGAGTAGCTGATCTAGGAGATACAGCTGTAAGAAGCTCACTGGTTAAAAGTGGTGTAATGAAACATTTGATAACAACATGGGAACTTTGCACTGACAGTGAGGTTATGTGCAATATATCAGAGACTCTATGTTACGTTGCATACGATAACGGTGATCTCTCACATGTTGACCACCTTGTTGGGGAGGGAGTACTAACCCTTATATCTAAACTACTACAGAAGTGGAGTGAAGATGACACTGTGATGGTTACGTTACTTGTAACTTTACAGAACAGTATCTGTAATAGGGTGGATATCTGTGAGTTAATAGCTAACAGTACAGAGTACGGAGATATACCCGAACTAGTGACAAATATTTTCCAAACAAGCAGTAATGTGAAGGTACTGGAGAGCACTATTCGTTGTATTGATAACATGTTACAAGGGAGCATGGCTTTACATGAGCACTTCTCCACCAAACAACTCATAGACACGTGTATCTCCCGGATCAGATCTGATGTGTTATCTTCTGAGTACAAAATCATGATATTACGGTTTATTGTCACCAAACTCACATGCAACCACCCTGCTAAAGTTGCTGCATTGTTAGTTCCACACACACATTCTTTGAAGGAAATCGCCGAGTTAGACACTGACAGTGAGTTATCTAGACTTGCTGCAGAGTTGATAAATACGTACTTAAGTTGTGGAGAAAAGCGACATAACTGTGTTTTGGTCAACACACTGTTTATATTAAATATCTTGAAATTTTTTGCTCTATATATTGTAGACATTGTTTTAGACATTAAAGTAGGGTTGAACGCTGTTAATGATGCTACTTTAAGCACACGGTATGAGGGTTATTGTTTACTTTTATTTAGTATTTTACCTTTGATTTATTTAAATTATCAATCTGTTTTACGGTATTACATTCAATGCTGGAGCATAATAACTGTTGATCCTGTGATATCTTTACAGGGATCAAACAGAGGACGAATAATGAAGTTATTTTGTCCTTGGAGGTTTGACAGCGTAAAACACACCATCTTGAACATTTTAACAGTATTACAGCTGCATCCCCTCATAACAGCTTTTGAGCTGGTGTTTCATCGGAGTAAATTGCTGAGTACAATCATAACTAATAAATTTCATTTTGGAAGAGTCTCCACTCAAGAGAAGATCCTAGAGAATGTGCCCTGCACTCTTATCAAGGGTATCATTTTGTATAAATTTATCGACAACAACAAAAGTAATGTTGATTTTAGTTTGGGATCGGATGAAATTGTTACCCTATTGTCAACTGTATATGGTATACTAACACTCTGCTATAAAGTAGCAAGTTTTGAAGAGTTGTGCAGGAGTGCAGACATTTCTCCTGGAGCCCTCACGACATGTCAGAAACTAGTGTCGTTCATAGGAGTATTGCTCTCACTTAATTCACGACTCATCATGTGCCTTGTTCTATTCAGCGTGATGCGTGATAATGAAACTATGTGGATTTTTAACATCAGTGTATTGCTTCACATATTGTTATCTTCTGCTACTCACTTACTATCTCATCACGAGTGGCAGTCTCCTTATGACTTTTCGATGGTAAAAAGAAAATTTGTGATAAAGGATTTTATTCTGAAAGAAGGCAGTAACAGAAACAGTAAACTTGTTGTGATTGGACGCTGCGCACTAGTGTTCTGTCTATCATGGAGTGAATCCTTTATAGTGAGCCTCCGACATCCTATAGATCTGGTGTCAGGAAGTGTTCCAAGCACTTATCATCTGAGATCAAGTCGACAATTCTTCTTGATTTATGTGTTTCACCTGTTAGAAGTGATAACTGTCACGGTTTTAGCAAACACTCTCAACTCTAAACGATGGATAATGGATTTGGTGTATGTATCGTTGGCACTATTTCTCATATCTGGTGCAATGTATATGCTGTACTTTACAGTTCTTAATCCAGACAAGACATCTAAATTATTGTCGGTTTCAATCAACCCCAGGTTGAAGCAGTTTGGATATAAATCCCAGGTCCTGAAAACACATCAATTTTGTCATGTAACTGAAAAAGCAACAAAGATAAACAGCACAAAAGTCTACTCATCCAATCAGTATAGTTACAGACTCCAAGTTCTAGATCCCTGTTATGACTGCATGTTGGGTAGGGAACACACAGATAAAGATAAACCTGTTAGTCAGAGCAATTGCTGCTCACGATCAAGTTTTCTGAAGAATTTTAGAAACTGTTTTACTCGACCATTTAATAGCAGTTACAGGAGACTCTCGCCCTCAATTAGTGATGCTGAGAATCTTGCTGAGAATCTTCAGTTGCGTCGTAAGGACGTGGATTTGCTCATTACTAAAGTGAGAAAGTACGACAATATTCATCTTCATCTGTTAGAATCATTTCCTGGTATTGAGAACATTGAAAAAGTGGACCCCAAGCTGCTTATCTCGAGGTGTAGAGCGATTGGTTCAAATGTGTTCCGCAGTATTGAAGATATCAGGGACGATGAGTTGAGTCCTAATCTCGTACCAGCGTGCAACAAACTGAAAGTTAGAATAGAAAACAAGTACACTGATGCGACTGAATGTGACATTCTCAATGATGAGCTGGTTGAACAGATCAGTAACCTCTGCGAAGAATACTTTTCATTAAAAGAGCAGCAATGGGAAAATAAGGTTCTTGCCTGGTGTGAAACAGCTCCCACTGAGATTCTTACTAAATACCACTATGGAAAATGGGGTTCAGCTCAATGTATAAAGGATATTGAGAAGTGGATAACAGAAAAAGAAAGACTTGCAGTGTACTTGAACCCTTACAATAATAACGCATCAAACCTTCCTGACACTACTATTGTGCTGTACGATGAGAAACACTCTAATTTCCACATCAACGGGGTTAAGACACCCCCAAAACACGGCTGGGTAACTAGAAAAGTTGCGGAACTGAGGAACTGTTACCATAGAAACAGGAGGAATTCAACATCAGGACAAACAAAGTATCAGCCTGTCGGACAAGATATTGTTACCATAGAAACAGGACAAGATATTGTTAATTCAGCAGTTTAGTTTGTCAGTTCATACAATGTTTGAAGTTTATTGGTAATGTGGTAATGTGGTAATGTGGTAATGTGGTAAAATGTGGTCCACCTCCTCCTCCTGTCAGGATTATAATTTGTGGACGGCTTCTTTAGATTTACATAACTTCTCCATTCTAACTAGATATTTACAAATAAGTATTTAGAAACTTACATAATGCCATATTTTCTGTCTTATATTCAATAAACCACACCTTGAAGTTCTATTGTGTAATCTATAATTAGTAATGATATTACTTTATCGGTAATAATTAGGTAATAATGATATAATTCTATTAGAAATGATATTACTTTATCTCAGTAGTTAATGATACCGATATAATTTTATTAGAAATGATGTTACTTTATTGATAATGAAATTACTTTATTAGCACTTATATTACTTTATTAGTAATAAGGTAACATCATTACTACATTATTGGTGTGCAGCAGTTTTAATTTATAATATGAACAGTGAATATCTCGAATGTACCCAGAACCCAAAACTATTTCCGCGTGCAAATGAACATTATTATGTTAGTTACATTATTATGTTATTACTATTTTAATAACATTATTATGTTGATAACATTATTATGTTGATTAAATTATTATGTTGATTGCATTATTATGTTGATTGCATTATTATGTTAATCACATTACTATGTTAATAACATTATTATGTTAATAACATTATTATGTTAATAACATTATTATGTTAATTACATTATTATGTTAATCACCCCTCTTGATAATGTATTTGGCTAGATGTTAAGACACGTGACTGAGATTGGTAATGCCGGAAGCTGATTGGTTAATCAATGTCACGTGTTAGACTCAATCTGTTTACCGCGTCTATATCTCTCCCAAGAGTGTTACCATGGTAACGCTACCATGTAAGGTAATATTATGGTGGTATCCAGATCTCAGAGTCGAGTCTGCTTTTATTTGGATCTATCGGCAACCTATTTCCCTTTTGTCGATATGATCTATCTATAATATTATAAACATACCAATTATTTTGGTTAATTTGACCTGGGTACATCGCGTGCACCTTCTGAAATTCTTCCATCTATCCATCGATAGAAATCAAACTTATCTCTATAAATTTACCTTACGTTTGTTATGTCGCTTTTCTCCACGATTCTAATGTATTTACCAATTGTATGTTCGTGATATGAGTGAACAGTGAACGTTACTGCTTTATTGTTGGTGTATTATGTGTATATTCAGTTGAATACTACTACTTTTCTAACTGTATCTGAGCATATGTTACAGACTCGTTATTTAAACGTTTTACTTGTGTTTGATTACTTTGTCTTTAATTAGACAATTAATTAATAAGATAACTAATTACCTTTTAAAACTTCGGTTTTAATCAGTGTTCAATTGTAAAGATCTTTCTAATTTCTAATTTCAAATATACATAATACTGCAGAATAGTCAATAGTTTTATTATCTTATTCTAACAGTGAAATCATCTAACAATATGTGACATGTCTAGAAGATCAGATGTCTAGAAGATCAGATGTCTAGAAGATCAGATGATATCAGATACCAGACGGATACCAGATGTTCAACTAAAACAGCGTTTCTGCACGTGCAACGAAATATCTGGTGAAGTGGTAAGTTAAAAACGTGCAGAATGTTGTGAGATTAATTATTTAAATCTACTTTTTAATAACCATCTGATTGTGTCTTATATTAAACATGTATTAATAAATTTCAATTCAAATATAGATCTCCTTAGTGACTGGGTAATGTATACACTACTTGTTGCAATGTTAGCATTACTTCTGGGTAATGTATACACTACTTGTTGCAGTGTTAGCACTACTTCTGGGTAATGTATACACTACTTGTTGCAGTGTTAGCATTACTTCTGGGTAATGTATACACTACTTGTTGCAGTGTTAGCACTACTTCTGGGTAATGTATACACTACTTGTTGCAGTGTTAGCATTACTTCTGGGTAATGTATACACTACTTGTTGCAGTGTTAGCATTACTTCTGGGTAATGTATACACTACTTGTTGCAGTGTTAGCATTACTTCTGGGTAATGTATACACTACTTGTTGCAGTGTTAGCACTACTTCTGGGTAATGTATACACTACTTGTTGCAGTGTTAGCACTACTTCTGGGTAATGTAAACACTACTTGTTGCAGTGTTAGCACTACTTCTGGGTAATGTATACACTACTTGTTGCAGTGTTAGCATTACTTCTGGGTAATGTATACACTACTTGTTGCAGTGTTAGCACTACTTCTGGGTAATGTATACGCTACTTGTTGCAGTGTTAGCATTACTTCTGGGTAATGTATACACTACTTGTTGTAGTGTTAGCATTACTTCTGGGTAATGTATACACTACTTGTTGCAGTGTTAGCATTACTTCTGGGTAATGTATACACTACTTGTTGCAGTGTTAGCATTACTTCTGGGTAATGTATACACTACTTGTTGCAGTGTTAGCACTACTTCTGGGTAATGTATACACTACTTGTTGCAGTGTTAGCATTACTTCTGGGTAATGTATACACTACTTGTTGCAGTGTTAGCATTACTTCTGGGTAATGTATACACTACTTGTTGCAGTGTTAGCATTACTTCTGGGTAATGTATACACTACTTGTTGCAGTGTTAGCATTACTTCTGGGTAATGTATACACTACTTGTTGCAGTGTTAGCACTACTTCTGGGTAATGTATACACTACTTGTTGCAGTGTTAGCAATACTTCTGGGTAAGGTATACACTACTTGTTGCAGTGTTAGCAATACTTCTGGGTAATGTATACACTACTTGTTGCAGTGTTAGCATTACTTCTGGGTAATGTATACACTACTTGTTGCGGTGTTAGTATTACTTCTGGGTAATGTATACACTACTTGTTGCAGTGTTAGCATTACTTCTGGGTAATGTATACACTACTTGTTGCTGTGTTAGCATTACTACTGGGTAATGTATACACTACTTGTTGCAGTGTTAGCATTACTTCTGGGTAATGTATACACTACTAGTTGCAGTGTTAGCATTACTTCTGGGTAATGTATACACTACTTGTTGCAGTGTTAGCATTACTTCTGGGTAATGTATACACTACTTGTTGCAGTGTTAGCATTACTTCTGGGTAATGTATTCACTACTTGTTGCAGTGTTAGCATTACTTCTGGGTAATGTTTACACTACTTGTTGCAGTGTTAGCATTACTTCTGGGTAATGTATACACTACTTGTTGCTGTGTTAGCATTACTTCTGGGTAATGTATACACTACTTGTTGCAGTGTTAGCACTACTTCTGGGTAATGTATACACTACTTGTTGCAGTGTTAGCACTACTTCTGGGTAATGTAAACACTACTTGTTGCAGTGTTAGCATTACTTCTGGGTAATGTATACACTACTTGTTGCAGTGTTAGCACTACTTCTGGGTAATGTAAACACTACTTGTTGCAGTGTTAGCATTACTTCTGGGTAATGTATACACTACTTGTTACAGTGTTAGCATTACTTCTGGGTAATGTATACACTACTTGTTGCTGTGTTAGCATTACTTCTGGGTAATGTATACACTACTTGTTGCTGTGTTAGCATTACTTCTGGGTAATGTATACACTACTTGTTGCAGTGTTAGCACTACTTCTGGGTAATGTATACACTACTTGTTGCAGTGTTAGCATTACTTCTGGGTAATGTATACACTACTTGTTGCAGTGTTAGCATTACTTCTGGGTAATGTATACACTACTTGTTGCAGTGTTAGCATTACTTCTGGGTAATGTATACACTACTTGTTGCTGTGTTAGCATTACTTCTGGGTAATGTATACACTACTTGTTGCTGTGTTAGCATTACTTCTGGGTAATGTATACACTACTTGTTGCAGTGTTAGCACTACTTCTGGGTAATGTAAACACTACTTGTTGCAGTGTTAGCACTACTTCTGGGTAATGTATACACTACTTGTTGCTGTGTTAGCATTACTTCTGGGTAATGTTTACACTACTTGTTGCAGTGTTAGCATTACTTCTGGGTAATGTATACACTACTTGTTGCAGTGTTAGCATTACTTCTGGGTAATGTATACACTACTTGTTGCAGTGTTAGTATTACTTCTGGGTAATGTACACACTACTTGTTGCAGTGTTAGCATTACTTCTGGGTAATGTATACACTACTTGTTGCAGTGTTAGCACTACTTCTGGGTAATGTATACACTACTTGTTGCAGTGTTAGCATTACTTCTGGGTAATGTATACACTACTTGTTGCAGTGTTAGCACTACTTCTGGGTAATGTATACACTACTTGTTGCAGTGTTAGCATTACTTCTGGGTAATGTATACACTACTTGTTGCAGTGTTAGCATTACTTCTGGGTAATGTATACACTACTTGTTGCAGTGTTAGCATTACTTCTGGGTAATGTATACACTACTTGTTGCAGTGTTAGCATTACTTCTGGGTAATGTATACACTACTTGTTGCAGCGTTAGCATTACTTCTGGGTAATGTATACACTACTTGTTGCAGTGTTAGCATTACTTCTGGGTAATGTATACACTACTTGTTGCAGTGTTAGCACTACTTCTGGGTAATGTATACACTACTTGTTGCAGTGTTATCATTACTTCTGGGTAATGTATACACTACTTGTTGCAGTGTTAGCATTACTTCTGGGTAATGTATACACTACTTGTTGCAGTGTTAGCATTACCTCTGGTATGTTTCAGTCCATGGATTAGGACTAAATTAGACGCTGGAGACTAACTTATTATTATTCTAGAATCTAGTATGTTTAGTTCACGCAATGTTCAATAACATCCGATTTGCTAATGTTCTAAATTATATTAGGTGTAGATTTATCTGTTCTACTAACACTACTAACTAGTACATACTATTTCAGAGTCTAGGGAATACTGGAAGGGGTGTTTACGTAGTCCACTTTACAGACAAAATGGTAATTATTCATCAATTTTAAATGCAATTGTTTAAGTAAAATAATATTTATCTGTATACCTATAAAATACGGTTTACAATACTTTATAATTAGATTTAATTTTTCAGAGTAAAAATCATGATTTACGTAACTTCCCGCCAAGTCATAACGACAATATTAAAAGCTTAGTTTTTAAATTTCTTATATTAAATATTATGAAACTATATTGTATATGTAACTATATATTTATAATATTACTAATACATACTATATTAAATATTATGAAACTATATAATTATAGTAGATATATATTTATAATATTACTAATACATACTTACATACTATATTAAATATTATGAAACTATATAATTATAGTAGATATATATTTATAAAGATAAAACATAACACTGTAACCGCTCCTAGTCCTACTAAATCGCTCGCCCAAATTTTAAGAAAATTCTTCTGAAAAGGCCCTTTCGGCATGAAAGTGATTTGGATCGGTGTATTTTTGGACGCTGATTCCGAATCACCCCCCATGACGTAGGGTTAAAATGCTTCCCTGGAGAGTTATGGGCAAAAAACCGTTTTGGTCACGTGACAGGCTAGTAAAATACGAATTCGATTGTTTAGGGCCCGGGTTAGGGTTAGGGTTGTGGTAAGGGTTATGGTTAGCTTCGGGGTTATGGTTAGGGTTGGGATTAGGGTTTATGTAAAACCGTTTTGTACGCGGCTGGGGGGGTACCAATGGCATAGAATGGAGACAAATGGCATAAAATTCATCAAAGTTTGGTATTGGGTGTGGAAATATATTAATGCCATAGCTTGACCTATTGGCATCTATTTCTATTGTTGCGCAATATTTGTTGCACGTGTTGAATTTAGTTTTATAATAACTTTGCAACGGCGCAAATCGGAGTTCTAGAATTGCGCGGGAGATTACGCGGGAGATCTATTAGTTTAATTATTGGGTCAGTTCGTTTTATGACGTGTCGACTACGTTTCGGTATACTTTATCCCTACCGTTTTATTACATTTTCTTTATTTACCTATTACTATACATATTTAATCTTAAATTATCATTTTAGTGGAACTATGTAAAAGGGGATCGTTGCTAGCGTCGAGATTGTCTTAACCCTGCCTTAGTCAGTTGAAAGTCTGATAGCATATGTTCCGTTTGATTTGACCAAACTAATGCCTTTCATTGCTTTATAAGCATCGGAGTTGGAACTTGTGCTTAAGAGATTTCTCTGGCCGAGGGATAACTCTGGAGACTGGTATTTGTTTGTTAATTTGGATGGTTCATTGTTGTCTGGCTTCTCTTCCTGTCTTTTGGTTTGGTTCTGATGGTTTTGATGTCTATGGTTACTACTGCTGCTGCTGCTTCTTCTAAGTCACAGGATGTGTCCTTCCTTCGCTGCTCTCGTCGCTGTAAAACCTGTGCTGATATGGTGTTTTGTACGGACTTTAGGTCATCTGTATCTGGGACTAAATTTGACTGTATATTTGAGTTTGATGTTGGAGAAGAAAAAGTTATTAATTGTAAAAGTACTAATGTTATTTATCTTTTGAGCTGTAAATGTTGTAATTCTCAATATGTAGGAGAGACTGTGCAAGAACCAGGGGTGTAGGAATGATTTTCTTCATGGGGGGGCCAAATTCTAAATTTTTTTGGCGCTTCGCGCCAAAGCCTGAATTTCGAGGGTAAGGAAAAAAAACCCGAAAAATATATTTTTGGCTCATAATGATCAGGGTAGCATGAAACATGAACAAAAGTAGTTTCCAAGAACACTTTTTAAAATTTTGACTTAGAAAATTTTCGGTCCGAGTCATTCTCGATACGTACCTCTGAAAGCAGAGCTCCCGCTTCCGAGCTCGTATTGCGAAGGGGAGGCCTGCCTTCCAAGATCGCATTACAAAGGGGAAACTTCGAGTCCAAAATCGTATATCGAACTTCGAAAACCGAAAAAATTATTTCTGGCTCATAATGATCAGGGTAGCATGAAACATGAACAAAAGTAGTTTTCAAGAAAACTTTTTTTAATTTTGACTTAGAAAAGTTTCGGTCCGAGTCATTCACGATACGTACCTCTGAAAGCAGAGCTCCTGCTTCCGAGCTCGTATTACGAAGGGGAGGTCTGCCTTCCGAGATCGAATCACAAAGGGGAACCCTCGAGTCCAAAATCGTATATCGAAGGGTAGGTGCGGACTTCGAAAACCGAAAAAAATATTTTCGGCTCAGAATGATCAGGGTAGCATGAAACATGAACAAATTTAGTAGTTTCCAGAAAAACTTTGAAAAATTTTGACTCAGAAAATTTTCGGTCCGAGTCATTCTCGATACGTACCTCTGAAAGCAGAGCTCCCGCTTCCGAGCTCGTATTGCGAAGGGGAGGCCTGCCTTCCAAGATCGCATTACAAAGGGGAAACTTCGAGTCCAAAAATCGTATATCGAACTTCGAAAACCGAAAAAAATATTTTTGGCTCATAATGATCAGGGTAGCATGAAACATGAACAAAAGTAGTTTTCAAGAAAACTTTGAAAAATTTTGACTCAGAAAATTTTCGGTCCGAGTCATTCTCGATACGTACCTCTGAAAGCAGAGCTCCCGCTTCCGAGCTCGTATTGCGAAGGGGAGGCCTGCCTTCCGAGATCGCATTACAAAGGGGAACCCTCGAGTCCAAAATCGTATATCGAACTTCGAAAACCGAAAAAAATATTTTTGGCTCATAATGATCAGGGTAGCATGAAACATGAACAAAAGTACTTTTCAAGAAAACTTGGAAAATTTTTGACTTAAAAAATTTTTGACTTAAAAATTTACGGGGGAAAAAAATTTTTTCCCAAAAATTTTTAGAAGCCTAAATTAAAAAGTTGGCCCTTTTTGGCCCCTTGCCCAGATTTCATGGGGGGGGGGCGATGGCCCCCCCTGCCCCCCCTCTTCCTACACCCCTGGCAAGAACTTAAGGATCGTATGTCGCAACACCGTGGGACTACGAATCCTACTGGAAATTCGGGAAATTTTAGATTGAGACAGCATTTTTTAGAATCTATTAATTGTAATTCGTTTAGTGTTCAAATTATTCAGAAACTTGCAGGTACGGGGAGAACTGGTGTTAAGCGTCCTAATTCTACTAAATTTGTTATTGATGAAAATATTTCTAAAATTAGGAAAGGACATGAAGATCGTTGGATCAGAGTACTTAAAACACAATTTCCTTATGGGGTTAATGATAGGATTGATAGTTTAGCTAATAAAGATAGTTATAATTGTGAATATGCTAAATTTATTTCATGTAAAGATAGTTCTAGAAAGAGATCCTGGGCTGATAGACAGCAAAGCGATTTATCTCAGTTTGATATTGACAATATTTTGGGTGAATTACTACGTTTAGTTGGTGAACCATTTCACAGTGATATTAATATTTTATTACGTAAATTATTGTTTCCTTTAAATAAGTCTACACTAGTTAAACTTAAAGAGAGCTATTTAAATAAAGTTTTTCAAATTGATAACCTAGACCCTAGTAGATCTCAGATACATTGTATTATAATGGACTTATTCACTTATAAAATTAGACCTTTTAACTCGAGAACTGATAAAAGTAAGAGCGTCCGTAAGCCTAAAGTTTTATGTTCTATTGATTTTGTGAACAAGGGTATTGAAATGTTAAATTTACCTAGAGTTTTTAGATCTCCTAGTTTGAAATCGTTTGTTAATTTTTGTAACATTAAGGAACCTACTGTTGTATATAAAGGTACTGATAATGTTTCTAAGAAGTTATTTAATTATAATAACGTTGTTAAGGGAGACACTGAACCTTTAGAATGCAAATGTCATATGTTTACTGATTTCGTAAATCAGGATTGTGGTCATGTTGTGACTGGGGATGTTAATTTTGTAAAGCACGACGCCTTGAGAAGTCTGCTAGAGAAAGGTCCTTCTTATAAAGAACCTAAAACGATTGATTTTGATAAGAATTGTAATTCCGTAATAGATAATGTTAAAGAAATCTTAAAACCTTGGAGTAGGAAAGAGAAAATCGATAGTGCATGTTTAAATGGTTGGTTTAATGAATTTAGTGATATTGTTAAGAAGAATACTGAAGCTCTTAAAATGAAATATCCTAAACAGCTTAAACGGAAATCTGTGTTTAGTAATGATAAAGCTTGTGAAGAATTAGCGTTTATTAGAAAGTATTTTGTTTTATGTCCGGTGGACAAAGCAACTAAGAACGTCGCTATAATTTGTAAACATTATTATTTAAGTGATATTATACAAGAGTGTCAATCTAATGAGGGTATTGATGATGTTAGTGGGGAACATGATGTTCGTGATATTAACAGAGATATTTTCAAGTTCATAGAAGACGTTGGGATAAAAGTAGATTCTAATATTGATAATTTGCCTCACATGTTTTCGAGTCCTAAATTTCATAAGCCAATTTTAAAGTTTAGGTATGTTATTTCTTATGCTAATTGTAGTATTAAGCCCTTGGCAGTAAAGATTTCTTTAGCCTTAAAGGCTGTTTATTCAGAGATCTGCCGATATACTAACATGTTGTTTAAAGTAACAGGAGTTAATAGGAATTAGGTCATTTTGAATAATAAGCCGATTTTAGAAGCTTTAGATAAAATTAATGATAATAGCTTAGCGAGAAACATCCAAACTTTTGATTTTTCTACTTTATACACGAATTTAGCCCATAAAGATATCAAGGATGCTCTCAAGTTTACTGTTAAATTAGCCTTTAGGAATAGTAGGAAGAAGTTTATAGCTGTTTACGATAAAGGGTCTGCTTGGGTAAATAGCTTTAGAGATGGGACTGTGGCTTTTGATGAAGTTAAGTTGATTAAATGTGTTGAGTTTCTACTGGATAATTGTTACTTTAAAGTAGGAGAGATCTTATATCGGCAACATATCGGTGTACCTATTGGAATCAACCCTGGTCCATATATTGCTAACTTAACACTTTGGTATTTTGAGAACAGTTTCCTAGATAGTACGTATAAAAATAGATACTATATTGTAAAGAAGTTAAATAATACATTTAGACTTATAGATGATATTACTACCCTTAACTCTGATGGTTACTTAGAGGAATATTTTAAGTTAATATATCCAGACTCACTTACTCTTAATAAGGAAAATGAAGTAGATAGTGCCGCCAATGTATTAGATCTTGATATTTCGATAAATAGAGAGGGGAAGTTTTCTTGTAGAGTTTATGATAAAAGGGATAAGTTTGGTTTTAAAGTGGTTAAGTTTCAACCTTTGATGAGTAATCAAGCTAGTAGTGTATTATATGGCACGTACTGTTCACAGGTTGTGAGATATTCTAGGATCTGTAATAACGTTGTTGCTTTTTCTGATAGGGTTTTGAAATTTACTGATGATTTAATTGAGTTGGGTTTTAGACGGGATCGTCTTAGTAAAATATACTTATCTGTGGTAAAGAGGCATGGGCTAAAGAATAAGTTTGGTATTGGGTGTGGAAATATATTAATGCCATAGCTTGACCTATTGGCATCTATTTCTATTGTTGCGCAATATTTGTTGCACGTGTTGAATTTAGTTTTATAATAACTTTGCAACGGCGCAAATCGGAGTTCTAGAATTGCGCGGGAGATTACGCGGGAGATCTATTAGTTTAATTATTGGGTCAGTTCGTTTTATGACGTGTCGACTACGTTTCGGTATACTTTATCCCTACCGTTTTATTACATTTTCTTTATTTACCTATTACTATACATATTTAATCTTAAATTATCATTTTAGTGGAACTATGTAAAAGGGGATCGTTGCTAGCGTCGAGATTGTCTTAACCCTGCCTTAGTCAGTTGAAAGTCTGATAGCATATGTTCCGTTTGATTTGACCAAACTAATGCCTTTCATTGCATTGCTTTATAGAAATTTCATGGCATAAATGGAAATTTTGTTTGGCCAATTCTCCATTTATGCCAATTTATGCCATGAATTTAGGTCTTCATATTTGACCTTTAGGATGACTTTAAATTCGCAAATATTATTAGTACTTGAATAAGAGACATGTTTCGTGCTTTATAACGCTTGGAATGATCGTTAAAGTCAAAGATTCATATGACAAATAAAGAAAATAGAAATGTATTATATCAAATATATACCAAACATTTCACTATTCAAGAAAAGCAAATTGTGAGAAGTTCAAAATGTACAGAATACAAACATTGACAACACAACGATTTTGAATGTCATCAAGGAACAATGCATCTGATGTATTTGTCTTCGACGAGTAGCCAAACATTAGGAGATCCATTGATTAGGCTATGTTCCTGGCAGTAGTACTTCATCGGGCATGACTTATAAGAAATAAATCTAACCACTCCTGTTGCAAAGTCCTGCTGAGATTTGAAGACTTTAAGAGTTTCTGTACTGCCAGCTTTCAAAACTGTTGAACATCCGCATTCAGGTTGATTGTATATGCGAACATCAGAAGACACTCCAAACGCGTCCCCCTTGAATCTTGAAAGACGAGATTTTGTTGATAAAGTGCTTCTTCCTCCATTGAGCGTGAGTGTCTCAAAAGACCGGAAGGATAGTGTTCCATATTTATCTGTTGATATCGTTTCTCCATCATCACAATCATCAACTCCAGGTTCTACCTCATAAGCTAAGTCGTCCTCATCCTCGAGGCATCCAGCTTCATCATCTAAAGCTTCCCAAGAAAGTTCTTGGCCATGGACGATTGGCTTCCCACTCTGTTCTTCAGGATCTGCGACTGCGGCGAACACAGGGAAATTGTTTCTTTTCCCTTCTCGAATGCAGTCCCTCGATGCCCTGTCCAGCGTTTTTGCCAACTTGCCTAGGCTTATCATACCACCAGTCCATTTCACTCGTTCTGCTTTCTGGCCTGTAGATTTAACCTTTTTGAGGTGAACTGTAGGATGCAAAACTGTACTTCCACGTGCATGTGCAATTGCAGATGTGTCTTCATGTAATGATAAAGCACTGTACACATTCTTTCTCTCCATTCCATGGGCCATAGTTATCGCATCCATATTTCTTGAGCGACCAGATGAAAAAGAAACCCGAATAAATGCAAACAGCTGCTCATTCTGATCACTTCCAAGGTAATAAGTGACGATTTCAGCATTAGGGAAGTATTCTCTTTCCAAGTAACGAAAAATGTTTTTTCTCAAACAGTTCCATTTTTATTATACTTTATAGTTTAGATTCTAATTTGGCATGATATCAGATCATGTGATATTACATGGCCCCATGGAGAGCATTGCCAGAGCAATTGGCCAGAGAGCTCCATAGAAGCAAGGGGCCTACTCTAGCCAACAGCTCTAATACATTTCCTTCCTCAACTTCATTTTCTTCATCTAACTGCTGCTGCTGCTCAGCAACTACTTGATAGCTGGCACAGTGACAATTGTCTGCGTAGTGTATCTGTTAGCCTCAATTTTGTCTCAAGGAGGGAAGGTAGCGTCAATCCAACCTCACATAAGTTTCGATAAAGTCTCAATAACCTTCGGGCTACAATTACAAGTTTTATAGTGGGTCTATAACATGTTTCCGTACATTAAAGTTAAAACTTAAAATGCGGTCGAATCATTTATTAGCCTCATTTTGGCCTCCTACAAGAAGACTCTGCGATTTCTGAAATGTTGAGCTTGAAGAGGATGAATAAATTTTTATTGTTGACACATTAGATAGTCACAATACCGAACATGCTCGAAAATATACACAAAAGTATACTTGTTAGCCTCATTTCACCCTCTCACAAGGTGGTTAGCCTCATTTTCACCTCGAAAATTTGAAGCTATAATCCGACGGAATTTCATGTGCAACATAGATATCAAGTAACTTGTGAGTTGTTAACCTGTTACCGTACATTAAAGTTAAAATGCGGTAGACTTTTTTATTAGCCTCATTTTGGCCTCCTACAAGTAGACTCGGCGATTTCTGAAATGTTGAGTTTGAAGTTAAGAGAATGAATCAATCTTTATTGTTGACGTATTAGATAGTCACAATACCGAACCAACTCGAAAATATACACAAAAGTATACTTGTTAGCCTCATTTCACCCTCTCAAAAGGTGGTTAGCCTCATTTTCACCTCGAATATTTGAAGCTTAAATAGCGATTAAATATAATCCCAAGGAATTTCATGTGCAACATGGATATCAAGTAACGTGTGAGCTGTTAACCTGTTTCCGTACATTAAAGTTAAAATGCGGTCGAATTATTTATTAGCCTCATTTTGGCCTCCTACAAGTAGACTCGGCGATTTCTGAAATGTTGAGTTTGAAGAGGATGAATCAATCTTTATTGTTGACATATTAGATAGTCACAATACCGAACCAACTCGAAAATATACACAAAAGTATACTTGTTAGCCTCATTTCACCCTCTCAAAAGGTGGTTAGCCTCATTTTCACCTCGAATATTTAAAGCTTAGATCTCGATCAAGTATAATCACTATGGATTATACTTGCAACTTGGATATCATGGACGTAACATGAGAAAGTTCTTTTTTGAAAGTGGTGAGGCTAATTTGTTAGCCTCAATTGTCCCTCGCAGTTAAATCACTCCTACTGAGTCTAGTGAGTGAGCTAGGAGGTCGCCGAACATCTCATTTTAAAGCCGTGTCGATTTTCTATACGCATACCAAAAATCAAATGCGTAACTAAAACAGAAATGAAATTACAGAAGTTTTAAATTTTTTGTCAAAAAACGAACTTTTAGGGGTGTTTCTAATGACCAGGGTCAGTACAACAAATAGAGATAAAGGTGGACAATACTAGTGGGGTGCAGACTATTCGTTATTAAATTCTCAGTTCAAAGTTTTAAAATTTAATATTTCGAATGGCATAGAATGGAGACAAATGGCATAAAATTCATCAAATGGCATAGAAATTTCATGGCATAAATGGAAATTTTGTTTGGCCAATTCTCCATTATGCCATTTATGCCATTGGTACCCCCCCACGCGGCTGCAAAACCATAAAAACCAAAGTCACGTGAAATTTTTGGCCGAGCGAATTAGTAAGAGCCCACTGTAACAGCACCAAAATCAGACAGCCACTATTTCAGTTTGGCAACTCTGTGGATAAGAAAAGTTTATCAGAAGAACTGTTAGGAAGGTGCCAGGATACAGAATCTCAGAAGCACAGTATTCACACCACGTGACACAAACTAACCAATCAGAGCACAGTATCCACACAATTTTTAGAATCTCAAACCAACTAACAATTAAGAAGTAGAACCTTGTCAGTATAACGGGAAACGTGAACAATATTTAAATACGATTATCCAAACACTTCCAGAGTGCTTGATATTTCAGTGACTTATTATATTATATTATATCTTGAATACGATTAAATATCTTGATTACGATTAAATATTTTGAATGCGATTAAATATTTTGAATGCGATTAAATATTTTGAATGCGATTAAATATTTTGAATACGGTTAAATATTTTGAATTCGAATAAATATTTTGAATACGATTAAATATTTTGAATGCGATTAAATATTTTGAATACGATTAAATATTTTGAATACGATTAAATATTTTGAATACGAATAAATATTTCGAATGCGATGAAATATTTTGAATACGGTTAAATATTTTGAATGCGATTAAATATTTTGAATACGATTAAATATTTTGAATACGAATAAATATTTTGAATACGTTTAAATATTTTGAATACGAATAAATATTTTGAATACGATCAAATATTTTGAATACGTTTAAATGTTTTGAATGCGATTGAATATTTTGAATACGATTACATTTTTTTAATCGGTTTATTTATGAAAATTACAATTTTTCTTATTTAAATTTATAGTTTAAATTTGTCAATCACTATGACCTGCCTCCAATATTTGTTTGAAATAAATTACACATTCCATACTGTTTATTTGGATGTGCTTTCTGTGATAATAATTATCTCCACTGCACTAATATCCACTGGATATATATTGGAGATACGAGCGAACATGTTGCTCAAATAACAGTCTTAAAGCGATGTGATACTTAAAGCGATGTGATACTTAAAGCGACGAGATACTTCCAAATGTTTCGTTGAATAGTGCTATTCACTATTGCTATATTGTATCGCTTACAAATTTCTACTTAATGAACAAAGAAAAGTAAAATAATTGTAATGTTTCGGTAGATTCCAATGAAATGTAACTGAAATACAACAATATAAATATAAAAACAGTCCAGGTAAAGCAGAATACATTGCGACTAAAAATAAAGTCTTAAAGATGATGGTACAAACAAAAGGTGCAGGATTTAAAATGTTGCTCTAAAGATTTGAGATATTAACCAATCAGAGCACAGTATTCACACCACGTGACACAAACTTATCAACGTCAGTACATAATTTCAAACGTAAATATCTCATAATAAACTGAGAAATACTGATGATTGTTTTTATTAGCACGTTTTTTATTAAAGTCAACGGCATTGCCATCAACTAGGGGAAACGTAGGATAACTATAATAAAGAACAAGTAATTTAAAAAATTGTGACTTAAAAACTGGGTCGTTTAAAATTTACAAAGAAAAAAGCTTAAAATCTAAGCTTTAACCGATTAAAAGTATTAATTTTGTATTAAATATAAGACACACGTAGATAAATACCACGTGAGCACAATTAACTATAACAAATAATTAATACCAGTGTATATTACTTTTACTTTGTATTACGAGCACTCCATACATAAGGTTGTAAATGTAAGGCTGCTTTGCAAAGTGTGCAATAATATTAAACAAGAGAAAGTTAGCAACTCAGTGCTCCCTAGTCATGTACACACTTATAGTCATTAAGCCGCGCACTGAACTTGATACGCAGTTTTAATAATCCGTAACCATGGTAACATCACCTTAGTTCTCAACTTGACAATTTGCTTAATTTAAACTTAAAAGAAGCTACTTGAATAGCAACTGTTTAAAAAGTAAGACTACGTAGGTTTCACATCACCAGTCACCATGGTAACTAAACCTTTTGTTTTTTGTTTTTCTTAACGAGCGGCTGAATATTCTCCTTCTCAGACAGAACAGGTTTTGTGGAGGAATGTTGAGTGTGTCGTGTAACAGCTGATACTCCGTCAACAAACTTCGTCCTGATATGATGAGGGTCTTATTATAACCAATCAGAGCCCAGTATTCACACCACGTGACACAAAGTAACCAATCAGCGCACTGTATTCACACCACGTGACACAAAGTAACCAATCAGAGCACAGTATTCACACCACGTGACACAAAGTAACCAATCAGAGCACAGTACTCACACCACGTGACACAAACTAACCAATCAGAGCACAGTACTCACACCACGTGACACAAACTAACCAATCAGAGCACAGTACTCACACCACGTGACACAAACTAACCAATCAGAGCACAGTACTCACACCACGTGACACAAACTAACCAATCAGAGCACAGTACTCACACCACGTGACACAAACTAACCAATCAGAGCACAGTACTCACACCACGTGACACAAAGTAACCAATCAGAGCACAGTACTCACACCACGTGACACAAAGTAACCAATCAGAGCACAGTATTCACACCACGTGACACAAAGTAACCAATCAGAGCACAGTATTCACACCACGTGACACAAAGTAACCAATCAGAGCACAGTATTCACACCACGTGACACAAAGTAACCAATCAGAGCACAGTATTCACACCACGTGACACAAAGTAACCAATCAGAGCACAGTACTCACACCACGTGACACAAACTAACCAATCAGAGCACAGTACTCACACGAAGTGACACAAACTAACCAATCAGAGCACAGTACTCACACCACGTGACACAAAGTAACCAATCAGAGCACAGTACTCACACCACGTGACACAAAGTAACCAATCAGAGCACAGTACTCACACCACGTGACACAAAGTAACCAATCAGAACACAGTACTCACACCACGTGACACAAACTAACCAATCAGAGCACAGTATTCACACCACGTGACACAAAGTAACCAATCAGAGCACAGTACTCACACCACGTGACACAAAGTAACCAATCAGAGCACAGTACTCACATCATGTGACACAAAGTAACCAATCAGAGCACAGTACTCACACCACGTGACACAAAGTAACCAATCAGAGCACAGTACTCACATCATGTGACACAAAGTAACCAATCAGAGCACAGTACTCACATCATGTGACACAAAGTAACCAATCAGAGCACAGTACTCACATCATGTGACACAAAGTAACCAATCAGAGCACAGTACTCACACCACGTGACACAAACTAACCAATCAGAGCACAGTACTCACATCATGTGACACAAAGTAACCAATCAGAGCACAGTACTCACATCATGTGACACAAAGTAACCAATCAGAGCACAGTACTCACATCATGTAACACAAAGTAACCAATCAGAGCACAGTAGTCAGTACTCACACCACGTGACACAAAGTAACCAATCAGAGCACAGTACTCACACCACGTGACACAAAGTAACCAATCAGAGCACAGTACTCACATCATGTGACACAAAGTAACCAATCAGAGCACAGTACTCACATCATGTGACACAAAGTAACCAATCAGAGCAGAGTATTCACAATATAAATATTCAATTTACCTGAAGATCACACCAAGTGACACAAAGTAACCAATCAGAGCACAGTACTCACATCATGTGACACAAAGTAACCAATCAGAGCGCAGTACTCACACCACGTGACACAAAGTAACCAATCAGAGCACAGTACTCACATCATGTGACACAAACTAACCAATCAGAGCACAGTACTCACACCACGTGACACAAAGTAACCAATCAGAGCACAGTACTCACATCATGTGACACAAACTAACCAATCAGAGCACAGTACTCACACCACGTGACACAAAGTAACCAATCAGAGCCCAGTATTCACAATAAAGATATTCAATTTACCTGAAGAGAACGTTAGCATTCTGGAACATGCCATCTTTGAGGGAGACCACGACGAATTGAGAATGTTTGAAGTGAGCCCTCAACATCTGTCCGATGTTCTGAGTGTGGGACAAGTCTAGCGCTGCGTCCATACATACATGCTACATGAAGAGGTCTCCTCCTAGTCGTTGGAGTGGCCTGCATCACACACATCTCTTCTACGGCGTAACATGTTCCTCCATTCCACTCGCTTTAGAGCCAACTGTTTTACTGCATCTCTGCTGATGTTATCGACACCTGTAAATTCAGCCGCATCCTCGAGTACACAGGCCATCCAGCCTTTGCGGGGTCGTCCTCTCAGTCTCTTTCCATAGTTTGGTTTCCAATCCAGTAAGAAATTGGGAAACCGCGTCTCTGGCATTCTGACAACATGTCCGTACCACCTTAGTCTAGCCGCACCGATGAAAGTTTCGATAGACTTAATTCCAGCACGCCTGAGAACTTCTTCATTGGAGACATGGAAGAACCACTTTATCTTCAAGATTCTTCTCAGGGAGGTCAGATGGAAGACCTCAAACCGTTTCATCTGCTTCTTTGTTGTGTTCCACACTTCGGCTCCATATAACAGAATAGTAATAACAGCAGCCTTGTAGATACGGATCTTGGTGGGCGTTCTTATAGTTCGACTGTTCCATATCTTCCAAAGCTGATGGAACGCACCATTAGCACGCTGGATCCTGATGTCAAGATCTCGGTCAATGGTACCATCCCCACTGATGTTGGCACCAAGATAAACAAAGTTGCTGACCTGTTCAACAGGTTCTCCCTCCACTGTTAGCTTTATACTGTCTCTTTCGGTGTAAGGTCGCTGGGACGCACACTTGCTGATCGCCATGCATTGTGTCTTTTTAGCGTTGATCTTCAACCCAGCATAAGAGGTGTAATAAGCTATAAGATCAGTGGACTCTTGCAGCCCTTCTTCAGTATTGTCCATCACTGCCAGATCATCAGCGTAGTCACTGTCCATGATAACTTTTTCATCTGCACCCTTTAGTTCCTTTTGCAGTACAGCACCATGACTGATTGCTTTGTGAACCTCGGCCAAAAAGATTCCAAAGTTCAGACAAAAATTAAATACAGGAGGGCCCTGGATATCACCCTGTCCAGTGCCCGAATTAACAGAGAACCAATCAGACATTTCACCATTAACCCTGACAGCACTCATGGTTCCGTTGAAGAATGCCTGAAAGATTCTAACATATTTCTCAGGAAGTCCATAGTGTCTCATGCTTGACCAAATAAACTCTCTTCTGATGGAATCAAACGCTGCCTTAAAATCAATGAAATTAACATAAAGTGGAATGTTAAACTCAATGCAGTTGTGAATAATGGTGCGGATGGAATAAATCTGATCAATACATGAGCGGTTCCGTCTGAACCCACACTGATTTTCCCTAAGAAGACACTCCATTCCAACATCCAGCCTCTTAAGAAGAACCATTTGAAGAACCTTAGAAGACGTTGCCCTAAGAGTTATACCCCTATTATTGCAGCAGTATGAGGTGTCTCCCTTCTTTCCGATAACCACTATAACACCTTTAAGCCAATCCTCAGGGATCACCTCTTCCTCCCATACCTTTTTAAACAGTAGCTCTAGTTGGCCAACAAGAGCACTTCCACCATACTTAAGTTGTTCATTAGTTATCTCATCAACCCCTGCACTTTTGCAGTTCTTCAGTTTCTTTAGAGCATAACTAATCTCATCTCTAGAAGGAGGTCCGTCAAAACAAGAAAGGTAGTCAAAACTCGGTTGTGAGGGCACACCATCGAGGTCATCAAGATTGGCATCCGATAGTGGAGGATTTAAGAGCTCAGTAAAGTGCTCCTTCCACCTTTCCTTCTGACTGTCCGGGTCTGTAATAAAATGACCATCCTTATCCCTAACTGACATACCCACTTTCTTCTTCTTTTTCCCAGAAATCTTCTTTATCTTATCCCAAACTTCCCTTTGCTGGCCTTTCTTAGAAGCCTCCTCTAGATCAGTCGCTATTTTAGTAGCCCAGTTGTTGTCGTCAATCTTACAACTTTTCTTAACTAATTTATTAAGCTTAGAGTAGGCTGATCTATTGACGTTTGAAGTGGGATCCCTCCGTTTGAACATTCCCCGTTGCTCTATCAAGTTCTTAGAGGTTTGCGAAAGGTGTTGTTCTTTAACCTTCCGGGGACGCTTTCCAAGCACTTCCATCGAGACATCAGTGACTGTCTGCTTGAAATTATCCCACATGTCCTCAAGGTTGACCTCATTCGCCAGACAATTAAAACGGTTCTGAAGAGCCACGTTGTACTCTTGAACCTTAGACGAGTTTCGCAAATGTTCGATAGCAGGCACATCGTGCCTTTTAGCAGTGATCTTAGCTACCGACTGCAGTTTGATTTGCAGCCGTCCACGAACAAGATAGTGATCTGAACCAATGTCAGCCCCACGACATACCTTAACATCGAGTAGCGAATGTTGGAATCGTCCACTAATACAAATATGATCTATTTGATTCACAGTTAACCCGTTAGGAGACCGCCATGTACCCTTATGGATGTCTCTATGCTGGAACAGAGTTCCACCAATAACAAGTTGATTGGCTGCACAGAAATCCATGAGCCTGGTCCCATTGTCGCTTGATGAACTATGGAGAGATTCTCCACCAATAACTCCCTCGAATCCATATCTGTTTGAAGTAACTTTTCCATTGAAGTCACCCAGTAGCAGTTTCAGATCATGTCGGGGTAGTTCACCAAACGTGTCTGATACAACGTTGTAAAAACGATCTTTCTCTCCGTCATCAGCACCGTCAGTCGGAGCGTAGGCTACAACAACAGATATGTTGAGGTGTTTGCCGTGTAACCTAGCTGTTAAGACCCGCTCTGATGTAGGTACATAAGAGATCAGGGAGTTCCTGACCTTTTTGGAAAGACATAGGCCAACCCCTTGCCTTTTGATACCATCTCCCCTACCAGAATGAATAAGTAGACTACCATTGTCCAAAAGTGTACTTCCAGATCCTGGCATATGAGTTTCAGTAATACCCAAAATATCAAGACTGTAGTGATCAATGTTCTGACTGAGTTGATAAAGCTGTGAAGATGAGCTGACTAAAGATAAAACATTCCAGGTTCCAAAGTACATTGAGTGTTTGCTGTAGTTGATAGGATTGGACTTGCTGAAATCAGTGTCAACATGAGCGATCTGTTGACTAATTACTCTGTTGTTATGACGAGCAACCACTCTTCTCATCAGGCCACTGGGGTCCCTGAGGCTTTGCCCAGTTGCCGTCATCCTGGTCTCACCCGACCTTGCAGAGGTAGAAGCACACCGTCCTTGATTTGTGTGTAATGTTTCAGTAGCAAACTTTTAGAGAGGAGAAGTTGCCAGCATCTCGCACCCGGTTTTTTATCGACCTTTGCCTGTCTAGATCCATAGTGTTTTGTTGCACGTCATCTGTTTATACTGGAGTCACCCAGGACAGATTACAATGCTTAATAGTAGCACCTCGAAAAGGATGTGATTCTTCATCACGCACTATGGTCATTGGAATAGGAGAGGTTATTGGCTTCACTGCCTTCACGATCACTATTCCCTGAGATTATAAATAATCTCTTGCTACCACCTGGAGAGAAACACGTGTCAGTATTCCCTAACAGAAACGTTTTAGTATTTCCTAACAGAAACGTTTTAGTATTCCCTAACAGAAACGTTACAGTATTTCCTAACAGAAACGTTTAAGTATTCCCTAACAGAAACGTTACAGTATTTCCTAACAGAAACGTTTTAGTATTCCCTAACAGAAACATTTTAGTATTCCCTAACAGAAACGTTACAGTATTTCCTAACAGAAACGTTTTAGTATTCCCTAACAGAAACGTTACAGTATTTCCTAACAGAAACATTTTAGTATTCCCTAACAGAAACGTTACAGTATTTCCTAACAGAAACGTTTTAGTATTCCCTAACAGAAACGTTACAGTATTTCCTAACAGAAACGTTTAAGTATTCCCTAACAGAAACGTTACAGTATTTCCTAACAGAAACGTTTTAGTATTCCCTAACAGAAACGTTTTAGTATTCCCTAACAGAAACGTTTAAGTATTCCCTAACAGAAACGTTTAAGTATTCCCTAACAGAAACGTTACAGTATTTCCTAACAGAAACGTTTTAGTATTCCCTAACAGAAACATTTTAGTATTCCCTAACAGAAACGTTACAGTATTTCCTAACAGAAACGTTTTAGTATTCCCTAACAGAAACGTTACAGTATTTCCTAACAGAAACATTTTAGTATTCCCTAACAGAAACGTTACAGTATTTCCTAACAGAAACGTTTTAGTATTCCCTAACAGAAACGTTACAGTATTTCCTAACAGAAACGTTTAAGTATTCCCTAACAGAAACGTTACAGTATTTCCTAACAGAAACGTTTTAGTATTCCCTAACAGAAACGTTTTAGTATTCCCTAACAGAAACGTTTTAGTATTCCCTAACAGAAACGTTTTAGTATTCCCTAACAGAGGATTATAATTAGTATAATAAGTATAATTAGTATAATTAGTATAATTAGTATAATTACCTCGTCCAGAATGTATAGAGGAGCGGGTTTGAAGAGAAGAAGAGATAAGATAAGAGAGAGGGCCACTAAAGATCTCTGTCCCCCGCTCAGTTCGGTTAGTGACTCTTTCCATACCTCACCGAACCCAACCTGCAATTGTAAACTATTAAAGTAAGGTAGTATAGGTTTACAAAGTAAGATATGTTTACTTAGCAACAATAATAACCTATATAAAGATATAAACATGAGCACTTACCTTGACTTCTAAACCATCAGTAACAGGTCTCCCCTCCAAAGATATAAACATTAGCACGTACCTTGACTTCTAAACCATCAGTAACAGGTCTCCCCTCCAAAGATATAAACATTACCACTTACCTTGACTTCTAAACCATCAGTAACAGATCTCCCCTCCAAAGATATAAACATTAGCACTTACCTTGACTTCTAAACCATCAGTAACAGGTCTCCCCTCCAAAGATATAAACATTACCACTTACCTTGACTTCTAAACCATCAGTAACAGATCTCCCCTCCAAAGATATAAACATTAGCACTTACCTTGACTTCTAAACCATCAGTAACAGGTCTCCCCTCCAAAGATATAAACATTAGCACTTACCTTGACTTCTAAACCATCAGTAACAGGTCTCCCCTCCAAAGATATAAACATTAGCACTTACCTTGACTTCTAAACCATCAGTAACAGGTCTCCCCTCCAAAGATATAAACATTAGCACTTACCTTGACTTCTAAACCATCAGTAACAGGTCCCCCCTCCAAAGATATAAACATTAGCACTTACCTTGACTTCTAAACCATCAGTAACAGGTCTCCCCTCCAAAGATATAAACATTAGCACTTACCTTGACTTCTAAACCATCAGTAACAGGTCTCCCCTCCAAAGATATAAACATTAGCACTTACCTTGACTTCTAAACCATCAGTAACAGGTCTCCCCTCCAAAGATATAAACATTAACACTTACCTTGACTTCTAAACCATCAGTAACAGGTCTCCCCTCCAAAGATATAAACATTAGCACTTACCTTGACTTCTAAACCATCAGTAACAGGTCTCCCTCCCAAAGATATAAACATTAGCACTTACCTTGACTTCTAAACCATCAGTAACAGGTCTCCCCTCCAAAGATATAAACATTAGCACTTACCATGACTTCTAAACCATCAGTAACAGGTCCCCCCTCCAAAGATATAAACATTAGCACTTACCTTGACTTCTAAACCATCAGTAACAGGTCCCCCCTCCAAAGATATAAACATTAGCACTTACCTTGACTTCTAAACCATTAGTAACAGGTCCCCCCTCCAAAGATATAAGCATTAGCACTTACCTTGACTTCTAAACCATCAGTAACAGGTCTCCCCTCCAAAGGTATAAACATTAGCACTTACCTTGACTTCTAAACCATCAGTAACAGGTCTCCCCTCCAAAGATATAAACATTAGCACTTACCTTGACTTCTAAACCGTCAGTAACAGGTCTCCCCTCCAAAGATATAAACATTAGCACTTACCTTGACTTCTAAACCATCAGTAACAGGTCTCCCCTCCAAAGATATAAACATTAGCACTTACCTTGACTTCTAAACCATCAGTAACAGGTCTCCCCTCCAAAGATATAAACATTAGCACTTACCTTGACTTCTAAACCATCAGTAACAGGTCTCCCCTCCAAAGATATAAACATTAGCACTTACCTTGACTTCTAAACCATCAGTAACAGGTCTCCCCTCCAAAGATATAAACATTAGCACTTACCTTGACTTCTAAACCATCAGTAACAGGTCTCCCCTCCAAAGTCTGCAGTTTAACCCTCGCTCCAGGAAGCAGCGTAGAGAATATAGAGCCGAAATCCTTGTTCACCTGCTCCCAGGCTCTCCTGACTGCTCTGTTCTTCTTCTCGTCCAGTTCCTTGATCACCTTGTTTATCTTGTGCTTGTCGTTAGTCACAATGTCCTTCCTTTTCACCAGGTCGATGTACCGTTTCTCCGCTTCTCCTAGCAGGTGCATTGCTCTCATGTTCACATTCTTGGACAGTTTCTCTTTACTTGCCTTCAGTCGCTCCAACTTCTTATCACTTTCTTTCAGGTCCTGTTTCTCAAAGTCGTAGGCAGTGTCCTTCTGTCCGAAGTACTGTTTTTCAGAAGCAATCCACTCATAGTTGTTGAGGTAATACTGGACCTGCTGCTTTGCTTCGCTCGCTTCCTTGTTCAGTTTACTCAGCTTGTGAGTCAGCTCCTTCAGCTTTATCCCGCAGCTACTTATCAGCTTCTCCGCTGCTTTCTGCTCCTTCACAAAGTTTTCTATCTCAGCAGAACACTGTTGTATCAGTTCACGCTGAGCCCCAAGTTCAGCAGCCAGTGCCTCCCTCACCGCCGCGCACTCAGTCAGCTTTAACTGGGCTCCCTCCACAAGCTCCTGAGCAGCAGCTATAGCCTCCTCGCACTTAGGCAGCTGCTCTCGCAGACCCTCCAGCTCCTTAGCTAGCTCACTGCTCACCTCCAACTCTAGTTCTTTCAACTTGTTCACCTTTGCTTTCGCCTCCTTCGAACACTTGTTTAATTTACTCTTTGCGTCTAATATCCTCTTCTCCGACTTCTTCAGTTCTTTCTCTTGTTCAGATTTGAAGTTCTTCATCTTAGCTTCCACTTCCGCGCACTTCTTTAAGAGACTCTTTTCTTTGTCGTTAAAATTATCCACAATTTCCTTTTGCTTTGCCAGGTCCTCCTTAGTCCTCCTCAACTCCTCTATGTCCTTGTAATGAGAGGTCTGCTTCAATCTTTCTTCTAATAAATCACGCTCGTGCTTCTTCAGCCTCAGCTGACCTTTCAGTTCCTCCCACTCGTGGACAACTCTTTCCATTTTACTCAACTCTCCCTCTACCTGTCTGTACTGCTCTTTGTACTGAGTGAGATCAGATCTGGACTGTTTGCAGGCAGAGAGTTCTTTAAGAACACATCTAGAAGTGTTCCTGGACCCTCCCGTTAGAGTACCTGCCGGATCGTATACATCTCCCTCCAGAGTAATAACCTTCCTCTTCACTGACTTGTCGAATGCTACTTTCTTAGCTTGCTCCTTAGTTTTACAGATGAGAACCCCTCCAAAACAGAACTTCATGGCCGGTTCCACCTGTTTATCAAACTGGATGACATCCAGAGCTAGGTGACAGTTGTCACCACCGACCAGTCTCTTGGCGCTGTTAACCACCTCCCTGTCTATAACATTGCTGCGGATCTTGTTGAGGGGTATCATGACGTACCTGCGGGGTTACCATAGTTACACTACTAGTTACCATAGTTACACTACTAGTTACCATAGTTACACTACTAGTTACCATAGTTACACTACAAGTTACCATAGCTACACTACTAGTTACCATAGTTACACTACTTATTTACTACTAGTTACCATAGTTACACTGCTAGTTACCATAGTTACACTACTAGTTACAATATCATGACGTACCTTCTGCGGAGTTGGCCGTGTTTGATGAGCAGAGCACTGGTGTCCTCGTTGTCTGTCACCACGTTATACAACCTCCTCCCAGCGGCAACCTCTAGAGCCATCGCGTACTGATTATCCGGTACAGTGAAGAGATCAGCTACCAGCCCCTTTACACGGGACCTATCAAAGTGCCTGTCTGGGGACACGTAGTCGAACTGGAGTTGCGGGAACTTGTTCACTAGCTCGTTTACCTGTTTTGAAGCTTTAGCCACCTTGTTTTCTAGTTCACATTTCTCATTTTGTAGCTCACTATGCACCTCTTGAGAGAAGCCAAGCTTCTCAATTCTCCTCTCCACACCTTCCACAACTGTTACAGCCGTGTCAAACTCGCCCTTCTCCCGGGCTATTTCCCTCTCCGCCTTCCTGCAGTCAGTCTCCATCTTCTTGATAGTGCTCTGAGAGTGCGCTAGTTTCAGGTTAGCTTGTTGGTTTGCTGTCTGTGCCTCGCTCAGCGAGTC